GGGACCCACCTCTGTTGAAATTAAGCCTTCATTGACACCGACAAGTCCATATTCAAGAGCTTCAGAGACACGCCATGAACGTTGAACATTATTTGTAAATATGTAAGAAGCTAACCCTGTATATGCATGCAGGAGAATTTGCTGATGAGTAGCAAAACAGAATTTTAAATGGAAATATCACCATTTTCCTTAAGGTCCTAATGGACGTATCAAAATATGAACGGATGCTCCAAATAGAACCTGCATTGGTGTCATTAGCAATTCGGATAGCCTCATCCTCAGTTTTGAAACGCAAAAGGGGTGCGACAGGCCCAAATACTTCCTCTCTGAGCCAAGACAATGTTTTCAGTGCACAGGTAATAATCTACTCAACGGGACAGGAGGCAAAAGTTGTTGATCACTAGGCAAAATTTTGCAGACCCAAAAGAAGTCATAAAGAAAGTAATAAGTACAAGCTAACCATCCTTGTGATCATGTCACCCACAATAATGAGTGTCACGGTTCATTAATTCAAATAATCAAATCAACCAACAATTTGGTTATGTCATTTAAATATGTCTAAAATAAAGCAAAATTTTATCTAAGTGTTTACCTTGCTATTAGCATATCATTCTTGACATCACTGAGAACTGTAGGCTCATAAAAGGTCATTCCAAGGCTATGCCTTTTGGCCCCAAGAACAACTTTTGCTCCCTTCAAAAGATTAATTATTAAAGAATCGAAGGTCATTGTTTCTCATTAAAATAATAATAATAGTTTCAAAGAAAAGGTTCATTCATTTTATGCCCTCAAGCTCAAGTAATGTTGAATAAATGGGAAACTGTAGAAAACTGTGGAAAAGTAACATAACAGCAATGAGGAAGATCAAAAGGCAGATATAGTTTGATCCAACATATCTTATTTCCAATCAACTGGAATGTAGCAACAAAGTCAAACTTCTACATTTGTTCTTCAAGGTCAAGTTAAATATTCTTATGACACCACCTACATAGCAACTGAATCAATAGAAAATGCAGAAAACCAACCTTTGATATAGCATCTTGAATAAATGATTCAACCTGTGATGTGAATTCCCAAAGTGACATACAGATATCAGTAAAATGAAGGGGGGAGCACAGACATAATGGAATTACATATTTGAATAGAAAAGCAAACCTTTTGTACTGCTGCTTCATTGATTAGTGGACCCTGCAATGAAATGAAAACAATACGTTAGACTATGATTTTAAAGCTCGAGTGGTTGAATTTTATTATCCAGGGGAAGGCTTTGTCTTCAGATTATCATTTTCAGGTCAGATAATATAGAAAATATCAATAGTCAACCTATACGATGTAATTTATGGCTATATAGGGGTGACTCCAAGCGTATTCCCTGGAAACCAAAAACCACCTAAAAATAAATGATAGCAAATGCATGAATGAGACTACCTGGGCCACACCTTCACTAAAGCCATTCCCAACCTGCATATTCTGGACAGCTTTCGCAAAAGCATCCCTAAATTTATCATAGATACCTGAACAAATAACAATCTACTTAGAAATCAGCATTATCCCTTTGGAGTCTTAATGCATAAGAAACTGAGCAAGAAACCAAAATCAGATGAGAGCCTTAAGTAATATAATCAGAATCTAGCACTAACGTCAAAGCTACCCACTCCAGTCTGCATACATAATCTTATTTTTCGATATGACAAAAAAGGCTAGTATATCAATAGGAAAGGTTGGAGCTCTTGGAAAACAATTCTTACTGACAAAAATCTTTAATTTAAAAAATCAACGACTTCACTATCCCCATGCACCATTACTTCAGAAAAATTAATATTCCCTCTTAGTTATTGCATATTATAGCTCTTTAATATATATATACAGAAAATCATTGAGCCATGTCTCATTGTCTAATTTATTGGCGATAATGATTGTTTACCATCTGAAGTCCTTGAAAAAATACAGGATATCCTTCCAATTCACAAAATTTGGTGTTTAAAGGATTCTTGTAACAAGGAATTTTATGAAATCTTATACTTGCCACTGGAAAGTAACTGCTGCTTAATGAGCAAACAGCCACAAAAGATTCCAATGTTAATGGAAGGATACATCAACGTGTAGTCTCAGCATCTCTACACCAGGGAGCATTATCTTAACTAGATATTAATACAGACTGAATGGCAATAACTTATTAATTGAATGTGTTTCAATCATACCTTCTTGTACAAGAATCCTATTTGCACAAACACATGTCTGTCCAGTATTACGAAACTTTGCTGCAAGCTACAAAACAAATTGCACACTTGATGGTTCAGCCAATGAATGTAACAGAAGAAAAGATTCTTTGAATTCAACTATCAAACAGAAATTATTAAACAAGGTGCAATAGTCAAATAATTAAGAACATATCTAATATGAAAGCAACAGTTTTACTTACAGTTCCTTTTACCGCCACATCCAGGTCTGCATCGTCAAAGACTATGCAGGGTGCATTGCCACCAAGCTCAAGAGATACCTAACATAATCAAGAAACAATAGCAATTAACCACATGATGATTCCTCAAACCTCACTATTTAGCATATACACTTATCATTTAGCCTATATATTTACCTTTTTGACAGTCGCAGCTGCACCAGCCATCAGCTTCTTTCCAACTGCTGTTGAGCCTGTGAAAGTGATCTTTCTTACCTGAATAAGTTATATCAATCAAGAATGGTTAATGTTTTATATTTTCTATAGCTATATACCTCCAAAAGAAAATTGAATTATGGTGTCCCATGGAGAAAGGACCACATTATGTATGAATTATAAAACCTGCGAACTTGCAAGTAAAGCATCCCCAATTGCTGAAGCATTTCCCATAACCACGTTCACCACACCCTATATCAGAAATGGTAAACACCATTAGAAACAGATGAGGCAGTAAAAGTTGTGATGACTGAAGCAACAAAAAGTTTAGGAATGCAATGCTCTTTAGAGAATATGTAAAATCAGCAAGTAGCTATTACATGACATGTCACCTTGTGCATCAGGATTGTTCTTTCTAAGAAGAAAAATGGTCAATATTCAACATCGTGAAATAGAAAACTATAAAGCAATTGATGATTGAATCTCCAAAAGGATATTTGGTCCCAACTATTCATTATCTTTAGAAGAGTGAAGAAAAAAAAGCACACTTTCTGGCCATGATGGCAAAAGTCTTTACGAATTTGTATTATATTATCAAAGCATGAACACTTAAAGCTTTATAAGTACATTTACATTCTCAAATTTGTTATATCCAATTCTAAAGCAAACAGCGCAGACATTTGTTACATGCACCATTCATACAACACTTATCACCAGCACACAAATACTTGTAGCACTAAGCAATAAATTAAGACATTCATTTCCAGCACAGAGCTGACATATGACAAGCTATATTATATGTCAACCTAGAGAGTAATAATATTATCCACAACTGCAAGGCCAAATGAAAAACAACGTGCATTATACTAAATAAGAAGTGTGCTTGTGTGTGTGCGCAAACATATAAGAAATATTACCGGTGGTATTCCAGCTTGAAGGGACAGCTCAGCTGCTGCTAAAGCTGTGAGGGGTGTAAGTTCAGAGGGTTTTATGACCACTGTACAGCCACATGCAAGAGCAGGACCAACCTGAAACAAGTGTGGAGCAGAAACAGGAGATTTTGTGAATGACAATCATGAGATAAAAAGGTC